AGCCCCCACACCACTGCTCACCTCACCCAGCCTCTCTGCGTGAGGAGGGCCTGGCTGTACTTTTCCGTACCTTCAGCACAAAACGGCTTTCTGTTTCTTCACCCCGGTCATGTCCACACCCCAGTCGGCTGGGGATGGGAGGTGGGCCGGGGGGCCGTCCGTCCCTGCCAGGCAGAGAAGGCTGAGGCGGCTTTGCTGGGTCTGGCCCTGTGCTTTCATGACCTACGTGGGTAGGGGTGGCACTGGGGGTGGGGAGGGGCACTGGTTGCATATATCTGGCTCCTGTTCCTAGCCCCACACCGTTTGGGGATCCTGTTCGTATCTCACCTCTGTGATCTCCAAATAAGGGGCTTGTCGGCCAGAGCCCCTGATGCAACTGGTGTGTGAAATCCAGGGAGTCTGCCCTTTAGGACAGATCTCCCCTTGTATCTGGCCCAGGGATTCTCACAGTCGCCGCCAAGGCACTGCGGTCTTGACCCTTGTCTCTAACTGGGACTCTGTCTTCTGGTGGGATTTGATTTGGGCTTTGGGGGCCATGGAGGCAGAAGCTGCCTCCCACCCGCCCCCACCTCCCCACAGTGGGGGTTGTACCATCCACCCCAAAGTGCCCGTGCCACTTGGCCGGTAGTTTCTGGTACAATTTATTCCAGGGAGGATGGAGGCCAGCTGTTGTTCTTCTCCAGCTGGAGACTAAACCAGAGGAAATGGGCTTGGAGTGCAGCCGGAGGGATTTAGGTTAGAGTCCGACAAGAAGGAAGGATTTTGTGACAGGTGGTTGGCCCTCAGGAGGATCCCGCAGGGGGCTTTGTGCAGGGGCAGGTGGGATTATGCTCAGAGGTGGTGGGGCCAGGATTGGGTGCTGGGGGTGTGTGTGGAAGAAGCAGGTGGGGGGGGTTCCTACATAGTGGAGAAACTCAAACTGCCTGCTCCTCATGCAGAATTCCTGCCACCCACCCCCCAAGACCCCTCTGGGCTTTTTTTTTTTTTTTTTAATTAGTGAAGGGGTTTACAGTTTAACCATCTAAGCATCTTAAACAAATTATAATAAATGGGTAAGCTTAATAATTCCTTATCATCAGAACCCTAGGCTTCAAGGGTGGGTAGTTACTTATTACCCAGAGCCACCGGCCGCGGGTGAAGCAAGAGGGAAAGGAGGAAGGAGCAGGTGGAGGGGCTGCCCTTGAGGCCCCTGGGTGCAGAGGAGTGTGCCGGTGGTCTGGTGTGCTCTGCCGGACGACGAGAGGTGGGCGGTGTCAGCCACAGCTCTTCTCTCAAGGGTGTGGGTGTAACCAAGAGGCAGGAATGTGGCTGGTCTCATCGGGACAGGTTTTGTCTTTGCCCCATGGAGGCAAGAGTCCGGGGGTGCCAGTGGTGGGGAAACTCGTCCTCAGGATCCCAGCACGGGAGCCTCGGGAAGTGGGCAGCTGTGTCCAGAGGGACAGGGCTGGCAGCCACCAGGGCTCAAGAGAGCTTCGTGGAACAGAACGTCCTGTCCCCCCGCTGGGGTAGCGGGAAAGCAGGGTCATGCATGGGAAGACCTGTGGCCCTCACCCTGATGTGCCTCCTGGGCTCCCACCTTTCCCCACCCACCTGCCTCCTTCCTCTAAAATCCTGGTGGTTCCAGAGTCCGCAGGGCAGCTGACTCACCAGGGCTAGGACCTCTGGGGGCTTTGGCCTCGAAGACAGGTGGGGTGCGGTGACTCAGGGCAAAGGCAGTGGGGCAGGGAAAGAGCCATCAACGCGGGCTGCCCGCACCTACCGGGACTGCCCTCCTCATCCAGTGGAGCCAGAACCACCCTAAATACACCGGCACTGCTCCGTGTGCCCTGGAAGGGCTGGTTGTGAAAGACGTACGTCTCAGACACTCAGTTACTCATTAATATTGAGTGATTACTAGTGCCAGGTTCTGTTCTAGGGGTACGAGATGAGTGAGATCTGCCTTCTGAGCTCACAGTCATTTGGGGGAGATAAATGGGGGGCCAGATAACAGGTACCTTAGGAGAATGTCTGTAGCCATAAGTACTGTTCCAAGCCCTGATCTTCCAGGTGGTGGTAGCCAGGAAGGAAGGCATTGCTGTTGACAGCCCGTCTCTCATGTCCACAGCTCCGGAGGCCCCGTCCAGCAGGTGTATACCCCCAGAGTGGAGGTGGCCTGCCCATCCCCCCTGTTCTTCCCACGTTCACTTTTCTACCTCTAGTACCTGTCTTGGGAGCACCGCTTGTATGCCCAGCCGTGCATTGTTTTACGTAACCTGCACCCCAACCCAATGAAGTCTTGGCACCCCCACTTGCCAGATACGGAAAGTGAAGTTCAGAGAGGGGAGAGGACATGCCCTAGCTCACCCTCTGGTGAATAGGAGAGCCCAGATTTGAATCCAGGCATGTCTGCTTCAAAGCCCAGGCCTTTCCTGCTCTGTCCCCGTGCTGTTCGTGGAGGGTCCCAAACATGATCTTTATGATTTTGAAGTGGATTGGCCATCCCAGTTTGTGTTGTCCAGGCCAGCGTGCAGACCTGAGCTCTGGAGGATGGGAAGCAAGCTGGCAGTGTGGAGCGGGCGGGGGGTTCACCCCCACTGATGGTGAACTAGATCTCCCTCAGGTCATCAGCCCTGGATGGGGAGATGGCAAGTCAGCAGTTCCTGTGACCTCCTTTGTGGCCTGCTCCAAGGCTGTTTTTAGAAACCTTGCATGGATGGTGACTTCCCGTGTTTGCTCCTTCCACCCCGCTGCAAGGTCGGGGTAAATCCAAGAAGCATCCTGGGAGTTGGGGACAGGGAGTGTCAGCATACGCTCGTCCCAGATGACATCAAAAGTGGATCTGTGCAACACTTTCATAGCTCTTCACCACCAGTTACCTGTGCCTACCTGTCTGTTGTCCCCCTCCCTGTTCCACTTTGGTTAGCATTTCGCAGCCCAGTCCTGGGATGGGTGGTGGATGGTCTGGTTTTGGGTGGAGAGGGCCCTCAACTGGGAGTCGGGGGATTCTGGCTGTCTCTGCCCAGTGCTTTGCCATCACCTTGCTGTGTGACTTCTCACTAGCCCTCTCTGATCGATTTCCTCAGCTACAAAATGGGAATAGGACTATTTTGCCTTCCGACTGTCCATTTTGCCTTCCTTTCCTCCAGGGTCTCCGTCTTAAATGGCTTTGGGGCTAGAGGAGTTCTAGGTGGGAGAGGTGCCTGATGATTGTGGGTTTGGGCGAGGAGGAGGGAGACACCATCTCAGCGCCCTTCCTGGCTTCCTTGTTAGAGCCGTTGAGTGGGGCTCAACAGAGAGGTCTGCTGGCTTGCTTGGGGAGGACAAGCCAGAAGCTGAACACGGTGCAGGGTCCTCTTACTCTCTAGCCCCCACGTCCCTGTGGGGGAGGCAGGGCACTGTTCTGCCCCTCTGGCGTGCTGGAGTGGTCCTGGCTGAACAGTTTTCTCTGCATCTGTCAAGGCAGATGTCAGACACTCCCAGGATTTGGATTCTGGGGGCAGGGAAGGAGCGAAGTCATGACCCCAGGCCCCAGGGCACAGCATCCCAGGTAGGGAGCAGATAGCACAGGGCCACGGGCACCCCCAGCAGGACAGTGGGTGTGAACTGGTGGGTAGAGAAGCTGAGGTGGCTAAAGGGTGTCCCTCTTGTCATTAGGTGTCTCGGGACATCTTTCGGAAGATGAAGCTGGAGGTGGATTTTGAGGATATGGCTGCAGAGGGTCATCTTTGTGTGTGGGTGGGTGGGAGGAAATGCTTTCCTAGCCCCATGGCCAGCTCTCAGTTGGCAGTGCTGTGGGACCCGAACCACACCAGAGAGCTCCCCTGCGCCTGCACACGCAGGCATTTCCAGTCTTATGCATCTGCTGAGCCCTCCAGGTGCCTGAGAACACTTGCTGACGTCCCATCCTGAGCTCAACCCCCACCAGCCCTTCACTGTTTGCTTTAGCCAAACCTGCAGCCCTCCCAGGTCAGCCAGTCCCTGGGCTCAGCTCTCATGGGAGGGGCTCCCAGCTGCTGGGGGGTTACTGTCCCAGGCAGAGAACAATGGGGGCAGGGTCACCTGCCTTGTTTGTATTGTCCCTCCTGAGTACAGACAGGGCTCCCGGGCCTGAGAAAGTCGGAAACCCAGAGATTTCTGCTGAAAACGTGTTCACCTCTGGCATGGGCTTGCCCCCGTGAGCGTGAGATTGAGCAGTGCCTCTGCACTTCGCAAAGGCCACTGAGAGATGGTTCAGGAGTGCGTGTGAGGGGGAGGCCGGCGGCAGACTGGAGGCCAGCCGTCCTTCCAGGCCTGCTGCCCTGGAGCCAGGCTGGACTCCGGCCTCCTAACAGGAGGGAGGAGGATTTGGGTCTGGGGCAGTGGCTTTGAAATTGGCTGTATATATTAGAGTCACCTGGGGCTGCTTTAAGCATCCTGGTTCCATGCCCCAGACCATGTCTGGCTGATTCCTTGAGGTTAGGACCCAGGCAGGAGGACTTTCCCGAGCTCCCGCCAGACAATCTCTACGTGTAGTCCGGGTGAAGCAGTAGTTTAGTGACCCCTAAATGTGCACTGAGGGTGGGGTGGTGGGCCACTTGCCACTTTGCCTAATGAGGTTGCGTGGGTTTCTGTAGGTGTGACCAACACTGCAGGGGATTGTGTTTTGTACACAGCCCCACCCGAGACACCTGGGCTGTGGGAGGACAGCTCGGACCAGCACTGGCAGTTTACTTTAAGGACCAGAGAGGAGGGGAGGCAGTGAGGCGCCTTCTCCGTCCTGTAGTGGATCCAGGGGATGCGAGGAAAGAAGTGTGATTGAGGAGCAGGGCTCACTCCTGACATGGGCGGCCTGACTTGCTGGTGGCTCGGGAGGAACTGGAGCTGGTGGCCAGTGAGCTGAGTCTTGAGAATGAGAATGTATTTTCTCGAATGTGCTGTGGATGGGGGCGCTTCGGAAGGGCTGAATTGGGCTCAGAAGTCACGGTTCTGGGCAGAGGAAAATATGACATGTACAGACAGGGGGACCCCAGCAGTCTTAGGCCAGCCTCATTTTACGAGAAGGAAGCAGGCAGAGGTCAAGCGTTCCTGGAGAATCTCGGCAAGTGACTGGCAGAGCGGAGCTGAACCTGGGTCTTCAGCCATGCGTTGCCGTCCTAGCATACCTCCAACAGTTTGTCTTTCCTTCTTCTAAAAACATTATAATTACTCCAGGTAGGCACTGAAGCAAAGCTGAAAGTTGCAGATAAGCAAAAAAGAAGTTAACAAAGTCCACACCACAGTAGCTGAGGTCTGGTCTCAACTGAGACGCGGTGCGGCCCAGCCCCCTTGGGTTCTGGCACCTGCCACAGACACCTGCTCCTTCCCCGGGAGCGACAGGGCCTGGTGAGCCAGGTTTCAGGGTGGCACCACCTGGCCCTTGCCAGTCCCCTGCTCCTAAGGCACGCCTGCCCTCCCAGCCACACCCTGGTCACCTGGGCTGAGGTGAGAGGTCGGCGGGAATGCTCAGGACAGGGAGGTGGCAGCTTGGAGCCCCGTGGACACACCCGTCACCCTGCATGAGGCAGTGAGGGGCCACCCATCAGAACCCCCGGTGGAGCTTGTTCTCTGCCCAGGGCAGCTGCCGAGGACATCTGCCGGGGCGGCCCAGGCACCACAGACATGTAAACTCCCCGGTGGTTCTGTTGGGCAGCCTGGACTGAGAGCCACTGCCTCGAGACCTGTGTGGTATCTCAGTCCCTGAGCCTCAGTTTCCTCATCTGATAACAAGCCCAGGAGCCCCCTCCCCCACCCCATCCCCAGTGAGGGAAAGCTAGAGAAAGCTGAGCAGTGCAGAGAGAGAGAGGGTGGAGTTCAGGGAGGGTTTCACTAACAGTCTTCAAGTCTCATTAGTCTTAGGAATAAGATCATTAACGAGTGCTCACCTTTGGGCCAAGATACTTGTGATCTGCCAGTAGTCCGAGAAAGGACTAGCCCGGCAGCTGGACAGACTCGCCCCCAACACGTCCACTCCCGCTTCTCAAACTGCTCTAGGGGGTCCCCACACAGGCTCTGGGGTCCTCCTCCCCTCCTCCTTTATCTGTTCATTAGTTCAGGTGTTAAAGGATTTGAAAAACATTGTTCTAAACAAGCCCAAACTGCAAATACTTGCTTGGAAAGCACCCGAGATAGGTTTACTAACCTCTACTTCCGTCTGTCCTGTTCAGAACACCCCACCCATGGCCCCCTGTTCTGAGGGGTTCTTTGTTAGACTAGATGGATATAGGGACAACACGGACATGCAGGGAGAACCCAGCAGGGGCCGGGTGGTAGGTGGACATCGTGAAGCTGGGGGCAGTGGGGCGGCGAGCTGGGACTGGGGCTCAGACAGGCTCGGCCCCTCCTGGCAGGCACAGTGTCGGGGGTCATAGCGTGTGGCATTGTTTCCTTCCCAGCCTGCCTGCCTTGCTTGGCTGTTCGGGAAACCGGCCAGGGTGCCTGGGAGCCTCTGGGTGGCAGAGACCAGGAGAGATGGGCCTCCGGAGGGAGGAAACAGGACATCTTGGGTGGCGCTTCTGCTTCCTCCAGGGAGAGCTTTAACACACACCTGCGCCCCCAGCCCCTCTGACTCCAACTGATCCCCTGTCCCCCTCTTGAGTTGTTTTGGTCCCCATCGATGTCGGAGAAGTCACCCTGTGCCCCAAGGGAGCAGACTGATCAGACTGAGGAAGGGCAGCTTTCACTCTTAGAACAGAAAGGTGGGAAAAGGTGGCAGCTGTGAGGAAGCTTGGGGACAGTGTCCTGTTCTCATCCAGGCCTGCCCTCCAGGTGCAGGGGAGTTAACTCCTCACCTTTTGATGTAACCTTGGGGACGTGTGGTCTTTCCCGCCGGGTCTCAGGTCCTCACAGGGTCTGGTCTCCTGATGGACACACTTACCAAGTCATAGCACTGACTGCAGATCCATTCATTCAGTGCTGACGATGATGTCCTGCCTACTTTCCGTATGCTCAGGGTGGGTGTTATTCTTGGCAGATGGAGAAACTAAGGCTGATAGGCTACGTTACTTACCCAGAGACTTGCTGTTAGCAATTGGGAGCTCCCCTAGATTCACTGCCAGGTCAGTGCCACAGAGCGGGCATGAGAGCCGTCTGCCTTCTTAGATGCAAGGCTCAGGCTGAGCTGCAGAGGGGCTTTGTAAGCGTTCCCTGAGAAAGGTATGGGCTTCTTACTAAAGTATTGCTACCAGGGATGACTTAGATTCCTTTTTCTCCTCCCTGCTCACCTGCTGCCCACAGGACAGTTTGCCCAGGGGACCACCTCCCCTTCCCGCAGAAAAGACAGTCCTTCAAGTCTCCCCAAGGACTCTCCCAGCCCCACTGCCACTTGGTCTGTCATCTTGGCCTTGGCCGAGGGGGCTTTCACCTGCCTCCCTCACCCCACCCCTTCCCCAGCCCTTTGCCCCTCTCAAAGTCTAGCAACTGCTCCCTCCCACCCCGCCCTCAGTTCCACTTTGTGGCGGGTGGTTTCTGTGGCCCCTGTAGCCAGCCCTCAACCCCACAAGCCCCTACTCTTGCTGGGGTCTGCTTCTGCTTCCCGCTCTCCTGCTGGATAAAGACCTCCACCTTGTCGCTAATGAATTTAGTTAAACCCAGCTGCAGAATGATGCTGGGAAAGTGTTGAAGGAAGGACACCGGAGATAAGTTAGTCTAGGCCAGAGAACATGCACCCATTTCAGTTAATTTCCTCACCCACGCTCAAGTATTTGTTGAGCATCTACTATGTGCCAGGCAGTGTTCTAGGCACTGGGAATACAGCAGCAGAAAACAGATCAAAAAGCCCTGCCCTCGTGACGCTTACATTCTAGGGGAGTCTGCATTCCTGCAGACATTTCTCTCGCAGTTGCTTGGGAAATTGTGTTCTCGAGACCCGGCTCCACTCCTTGTAGCTAAGAAGCACCCCCCCTGCATCCCCTGCACCCCCTCTCCCCATCCGTAGGTGGTACGGGGGGCTGAGAGCCAGACCACCCCAGTTCACTCCCCGGTTCCACCGCTGACGAGCTGTGTGACCTTGGGCACACTACTTCATTAGCCTGTGTGCCTCATTGTCCTCATCTGTAATTGAGGGTAACGGCCCCCACGTTTTAGGGTTGTAAAGATTCAGTGAGCTAAGTGATTTTAGATGCTTGGGTGGTATCTGTCACTTCAGTGCTCAAAATCAGCTGCTATTCAAATATCAACTATTCTATCTATGAAATAAAGATTAATAAGCGTTTGCCCTGCCCACCTCAAGGCGGTGCCAGGAGGGCCGGGGGGGGGGAGGAATGATAAAAGTCCTTTCTGGCTTGCCGAGCACCTTGCCAGTGCGTGGACCTCAGGGTGAAATGCAGCCAGGGACGGGTAGAGGTTGGTCGGCTTGCACCCCCTCCACAGCCTGTGGGTCCAGGGGCGGTTGGCATCGAGGAGGCTCCTTACGGCTGCATCCCGCATAGCAGGAAAGAGCTCTGTGGCCCATACCGGATGTCTGCCTGGAAGCTGGAGGCAAGGTGGGGAGTAGCTCCCTGGGTGCCAGTTAGCTGCCATCGCCAGCCCGGCTGCCACCCCAACTCCGGTGCCCCGTCCCCGTGCGCCCCGGGTGGATGAGGGGAGAGGCCTGACCTCAGCCCCACCTGCCCGGGTCTGAAGGTGGGCTTCAGCCCTGGGACTGCGCACTCGTCAGGCTGAGTCTCTCCAGGAAGGGGAGGCCTGGCAGCTGCCTCTGCCTGAGAAACTCCGGATCCCCGGGGGGTGCAGAGCTGTCCGGGAACCCGTGTTTCGCAGACAGTGAGAGCCCAGGAGGGTGGGGTCAGGGCAGCTGGTTGCCTGAAGCCAAGGCAAGGGCATGTTGCCTCCCTGGAGGCCTGGCCAGAAATGCTGAGCTTGGGTCAGAGTGCATGGACTGGTTTTAGGGCACTGTTTTCTCAGCTGGTGCAGAGGGATGGAAGTGTGCACTGGCCTCCTTCCTGTGGCCTTTGTGGGAAGGGGCGGCAGGGGAGTGGAGGCAGGATAACCGCATCTAGTCAGGGCTTTGAGCATTCTGACGTTAGGCTACTTACTTAACCTAAGGCTTAAATTTTCATTTGCAAAATGGAAAAAATTATGGTTTCTTCCCAGCAGGATTCTGTCCTCATTGAACGCGCTGAAGGCAGTAAAAGGTGTTAGCACCCAACACTTGGTGCATAGAAAGCCCTCAATAAATCACAGCTACTTGATGATGAGGGTGACCCAGGAGGGCACTCTGTTCCTCCCCCGAACAAGAGCTGGGCCCGGGCTGTGTGCAGTACCCTCTTCTCCCAACACTCTCCTGGGTTCTGTGGCAAAGGAAAATATTGTCTCGTGTGAATTTGGGAGCCAAGTTAAAGAATCCTGTGAGCGAACAGGGGCCACCGCCTCCTGTGAGAGCTATTTCCCTAACCCTGGGGACAGGGTTGGCCTGGCTCCCCCGTGCCACTCTCCATAACCCAGGGATGACCTCAGTCCTGGGTCACTTTCCTCACCTGCCGAGTGACACCTGGCAGGATCACAGGAAGAGCCAGTTAGGTGACGTGTGTATATACACCCCAGCAAGGGGTGTCCACCATTCAGGAGCACAAAAATCCTACTTCATGCCCCAGCATTGGGATGGAGCCAGGCTGATTCCCAGGCTAGCTGCTGGGTGCCCGTGGGCAGAGAGGAGGCAACAGCAGGGGGTGTTGGGCGTGTCCAGGGGACAGCTGGAGCCGTGAAGGGAGGCGGGGGGAGCCCCACTGACTTACAACCAGACAGTCCAGAAACTAGCCCAGTTCTGCCATGTAACCTCTCTGAGCCTGTTTTGTGACCTGACCAGTGGGCAGAACTGCCACAGGATTGTTGTAAGGGCTGGTGGTGCGTCTAACCCTGGGGACACTGGGACCCTTCTGAGTGCCCTTCTCTGGATGACCGTGGAGAGGTAACAGAGGTCCTGGGGAAAGCACATGGGACTGTGGCCCCCTGATAACCCAGGGCCAGAGGCTGAGGCTGCAGGCTGTGCCCCAAAGGGCATAGCATTGGCGGGGGGGAAGGCAAGAGACCCAGCTTGTCTACCGCAGGGCCCCCAACCGTAATGCCCTCTTTGGTTACCCTGTTTTGCCACTCTTCCGTTTGTGGTGTCTCCTCAGCACTTACTAACTGATCCCCAAGTCACAGATTGCCTTTGGGCAGGCTGTGTTTCTCAGCGGGGGCAGTGTCAGCACCGTGGGTTGGGCTGTCTTGTGCGTCCGGGGGCGTCCGGCGCCATCACCTGGCATAGATGGGTGGGAGGACAGGGATCTCATCTCCTCGCAGTGCCTCCAAGGTGCCTGTGGCAGCGTCTCACACAGACACCCCTCCCCACTCAGCATTTCCAGACACTCCCAGAGGGGGCTGCCACCCCACTGAGCACCCCTGGGTCCAGTCACACCTTCAGCATCCCTGTTGTGCTGTGCTCTAAACACTATTACCGGAAGTGGGGCACTGCCCAGAGCCGTGCATTCTCAGGTAGCTCGTTATCCAAAAACGCCACCCCGGCTCCCTCTCGGTTAGCAGATCATGTGAGGTCCGACACCCAGAGGGGAGCACAGGTCCCCGTGTGTGGCCCAGCCCTCAAGGGAGAAGGTGTTGACACTGCCTGAGATTTTATTTACTTTTCTAGTGTTTGCTAGTTTGTGGTCAGCTGAAACCCAAGGACTTCTCCTGTGGATCCTAGACTGACCTTTTCTAACCCAAAGTGTATGACATGAAAATAGTAAAAGAGAATGCTGTCTTGTTAGTTCGGGCCCATCTTCCCCAGGCGAGCTGGTTTTGAGTTCAAACTGCTGTTGCCGCGTGTTCGCTCTCTCCCCCATCCCAGCCTCGTCCCCAGCTTTGCATCCCTTGCCGATTAGACTGGTCAGCCCTCCACGTATGTCTTTTCTGTGTTGTTGATTAAAATATGGAAGAGGCCAGGCCTTTAGCCTGATCGTGGAGGCCTCAGGCCAGGTTGATAAAGATCAGTACCTCTTGGTTGTTTATTTGCCTTTGAAGGGGCCCAAATTAATCCCAGCTCCACCCTGCATCTCTCTGTCTTGTCCACATGAAATATCTGCAAGCCCATCTGTTCAGCTGCCTTGCTGAAATCTAGATTTACTGCATTCCACCCAATTTCAAGGGTTTGCAACCCCTTTGGAGCGGGAGATGCACTTAGCTGAGCATGACGGGTTCTTGACGAACCTGTGCTCACTTCTAGTGCCCACCAGTTCCTCTTTTGAATGTGCCAAACATTCTGCTATCCCCATTTAGACATCTGTGAGGACTCTGGTTTGAGTTTCTAGAATACACCCCTTTCGTCTGTGTGAGAAGAGGGACAGCGCTCATGTCGCCGAGACTCCATGGGGAGGACCAGACTCAGTGCCCCATGTGCATCGTCCTCTGCTCAGTGGTGCAGCTTCCCTTTAAATGTTACTTTCGTCTGTCAGGCTGAGCTCCCCTTCGTCTGTCATTTTGCACTCTACCCTCTCCACCCTACAACGGGCAGCTGAGATGACAAAGGGCCAAAGGGAGCCACCATCTGTTTAACATTAAGACATGGGACCCTGCTCCTGCTCATTTTCCTGCCTCGGACATAGGTTTAATTTTTTTAGAAAACCTTTCAGATGGACCCAGAGGCCCCTTGGCATCTAGATGTGCTGGCGCTCGCCCCTGGAAGTGGCCCGGCTGGCTAGACAGCCAGCTCTCTGAGGGGAGGGCTGCAGGGAGACCGCTCCCTGGCCTGCAGGGAGATATTCTGGAAACGCCGCGAGGAGGCCGGGCAGCGGGTGGTGTGATTTGATGGCCTGTCAGATGAGCATGTCATCATGGAAAATTCTTTATGGAATCTGCAGATCCGTTTACACGGGTCTGCTGCTGCTGGGGCAAACTGCTCGTGCCTTCAGAACAGCCCCAGCCCCTCCCTTGTTTCCCACTGGACTTCAGTCGCACCGCGGAGGGTTAGAATTGCGGGCTTTCTGTCTCCCTCTTCCATCCCTCGCCCTTCTGTCTTCCCTCAGTCCCAGGCTTCAGTTTTGTAGAGAATTGGACTGAGTCTCCTGATGTCTGGATTGGGTGGCCCACCCTAGGGTCCCCCTCAGGGGCAGAACTGGAACTCCTAGCTTAAATCCCGGGCCCTGTTGGGGTCCATGCCCTGCCATCTGCAGGTTGCAGTGAACGGTGGCAGGACTGAAGGTTGGGGAGGGTAGAGGCTGTTCTCAGCAGGTTGAAGCAGGTTTGGCAGCTATTAAAGTTCCTGGAATAGATAAGGTTTCTTCTGGGGCCACCAGTGGACTTCCCCAGGTGGCCTCTCACCTGCTGCCCACAGTTGCTGGGAGCCCTGTGGGGACTGAACTGATCGCATGATTTTGAGTCACCCTGAAATGTACACACCACTTCTGGTGATCTGTCCTGGCCTACACCTTGAAATTGCTTGGCCCAGGGCAGAGAGGGGGATCCAGACAAGAGAGGGAAGGGGGAGCTTGTAGGGAAAGAGGGTAGAGTCCCAAGCACGGGGAAAAGGAAGCCAGCTGATGCAGTGCGTACTCCCTCAGAAGACAGATCCAGGAGGGCACTGAGCTGGGGCGAGGGGTGATAGGGGTCCCTCCCAGGTCTGTCCCGCGGTAGAAGACTTCTCTGTGGAGGACTGGATAGGGCATAGGCATCCCGTGTTTCTGAATCACATGTGCCTTCTTTGAGGCAGAACCGTCTAGAACAGTGGTTCTCAAAGTGTGGTCACTGGCCCAGTAGCAGCAGCAGCATCACCTGGAAACTCATTAGAAATGCAAATTCTCTGACCCCTTCCCAGACCTGCTGAATCAGACTCTGGAGGTGGGGCCCAGCAGTCTGTATTTAACAAGCTCTCTGGGTGACGCTGGTACATGCTAGTAAGTTTGAGAAGCACTGACTCCGTGAGAGAATGGACTTTAGGGACAGAGTGCCTGAGTTCACATTCTTACCAGCTGTGTGACCCTGGGCAAATCACTTAACCTCTCTGATTCTCTATAAAATGTTTCATCATCTATAAACTGGAGACAGTAATTGCCACCTTGTTATTGTGATAATTCAATAAGAATGCTCATATGGAGTTGCATCCACTGCTGGCACTTTGAAATCACTTCGCCACTTTGTGTCTCTTGTTCTAGGTAGTATCTGATGCTGCAGGACAGGGCGTGGCCATTACGGGGAATCAGACGTTCAACAACTGGAATTGGCCTAATGCAATGATTTTTGCCGCCACGGTCATCACTACCATTGGTAAGTCTTCAGGGACCTCAGGACACCCATGTCCATGCCCTCGCTCCACAGAACCTTGTAAGAGTCCAGCTCTGGTCCCATGGCCTTCAGTTGCATTGTGTTCTTTGAACACTTTGCTGGGGATTTAGTAAGTTCTTGGCGACTGGCCACGCTTGGGAGACTTCTCCAGGAGTGCTCACCTGGGCTGTTGGAGCAGAAATGACACAGCCTGATAGCCCGAGCCATGCAGGGGGTTGAGCAGGTTGCGCACTGCACCACTCCAGCCCATGCTTGCTCACTGGGCTGGGTGTCTCTTTTGGTTATCTATGGCTGCATGACCAACCACCCCAGACTTAGTGGCTTTTAAAACACAACTTATTATCTTCCGCCGCTCTGTGGCTTGGCTGGGTTCAGCCGGTTGGTTCTTCCTGGAGGTCAGTAATGGCAGTGGCAGTCCTGTGTCTGAGGCTGGAGTCAGCCAAAAGCACTACTGGCTAGACATCTAGGACTGCTTCTTCCATCACACGTTTGACAGTGGACCGTGGCTGTTGGCTGAGAGCACGGCTGGGGGTGAAAACACAGTGACTCGGGCAGCTTGCAGTATGGCAGCTGGGTCCAAGTGGGGAATTCCCAGAGAGAACCTTCCAGGCCATCCCGGAGAGAAGCAACAGGGCTTGTTAGACCTAGCCTATCCAGCACCATTGCGCCACGTCTGCTGGCCAGGCCGGCCACTGCAGCCCAGCTTCTGACGCCGGCCTGGCCTGAGCAGCAACATGCTCTCACAGGAAGGGATGGGATTAAGAATGGCCATCTTTAGAGACCACCTCCCGTGGTGCCTCTAGGGTGTCTCCCCAGAGAGGGCTCTTGGTAATTTGCACAGTGGTGCCATATAGACTAGTGGAAGGCTTGCTAATGATGAAAGCTTTGTCCAGCAGGAAGCTCCCAGTCTGATGGAGGAGACATAGCCCATGCCATCCTACTTGCTTTATAAATGATCACAACCAAAGTGTAATGAAGTGAAATTTCATTTCTTAAGGAGTGATACTAGATCAATAGCAAGTAATCGTCAAGAACGTGGCTGTGTGGATGTGGGTGTAGGTATGGGTGCATAGTGGAGGCAGGGTGAATCTGGGTGCATCACCCCCGCTGTGACTTTCTGTGCCTCACTCTCTTCTTCTTCCTCAGGCTATGGCAATGTGGCCCCCAAGACCCCTGCTGGGCGCCTCTTCTGTGTCTTCTATGGTCTCTTTGGGGTGCCGCTCTGCCTGACGTGGATCAGTGCCCTGGGCAAGTTCTTCGGGGGACGTGCCAAGAGGCTGGGCCAGTTCCTCACCAAGAGAGGCGTGAGCCTGGTATGTCCCCAAACCCTGGGGGCTGGGCAGTGCTGGGGGGACCCTGGCAGGTGATGGGAGGATGGGAAAGATTCGAGAATGGACAGAGGTGCTAGAGTGGGGACGGGAGGGCAGTTTCGGGGCCCCCCGGCCCCTGGGTGAGGCTGGGAATGGTGCTCCTCGCCCTTTGCTAGGCGGGTGAGCCTCCTCCTGGGCCTGGTGCCAGCTGGCCTCCTGCCTGGCTGCCTCCCCGGCCTTCCGGGCGCCCCTGCCATGCCCCGGGTCCCTGCCATGGCTCTGACTTGGTCTCCCCACCCCCACCCCATCAGCGGCAGGCGCAGATCACATGCACAGCCATCTTCATTGTATGGGGCGTCCTGGTCCACCTTGTGATCCCACCCTTCGTGTTCATGGTGACCGAGGAGTGGGACTACATCGAGGGCCTCTACTACTCCTTCATCACCATCTCCACCATCGGCTTCGGGGACTTCGTGGCTGGTGAGTCCTGCCCTCCTCCCCGTGCCTCTGCCTCTCTGCCTTCTCTTTCTCTGCTTCTCCACGTGCAGTTCAGCTGACCTTAATGAGACCCCAGCAGGTGCTCAGTGTCCTGGGCAGCAACCCTCCCCCCGCCCCCGAGGGGTCTTCTGTTTCCCTTTCTTTCTTGGGTCATAGCTTTTCCTGCTTCTTCTCCCTCTGTTCTCCCCTGTCTCCTAGGCCTAGGTTCACTAGGGGCTGGGGATAGGTCCTTCCCCACCCCCTGAAGGGTTTGAGCCTGTTACCCAGAAAGCCCCGGAGCCAAGCCAGGGGCCCCCTTCCTGTCCCAGAGTTGCCGGCCTTACCTCCCGTCACAGGAGCGGAGGGAGCTGGTCTAGAGGTTTGGCTCACAGGCCTGAAACTTTACTCTTGCCACAGGCAGTTTAGAGACAAGAGAGGCCTTCTCCTAAACTGCCCCACCCTCTGGGGGCTGGGGCAGCCCCTCCCACTCCTCCCCTACTTAATCCAGGCAGGTGATAAAATTCTTTGGCCCCAGCCTCTCCGAGACTTGTGCCTGTGGCCTGCCCTGCATCTTGGCCCTTCATCGTTTTGACCCCTGTTTGGCTGCATTGACCCAGTGTTCTCTCAGTGCCTCCTGCCCAGCCGATCCCAACCTTTGCTCCAGGGGCCTCCGGTCCCCCTACCCCCCCCCCTCGGCCAGGGGCAGGCGCAGGTCACTATCCTTCTCATTGTAAGGGGAGACTCCAAATGTGAGGAGGGGCGGCTGAGTGGTGCGGGGAACAGGAAAGAGGCCCAAACACTCTCCTGACCTCGGCAGATCAAGGCCTGCTGTCTTGGGAGATAAAGTTAGACAGAGGCACAGCCCTGCCATTGTCTGAGGGACCCTGCGCGAACAAGGAAAAGCCTTTGCACTGGAGAAGTGGGGTGTATTTTAGCCATACTTTCTCAGCTCCAGCAAGACCTCAGACCTCTCCCTGTTTCCTCATCTCTAAGCTTGGTTTAAAAAGAACAGCTCCTACCTAACAGGGTGGTAGAAGATCAAATGAGTGCTAAGGATAGGACCCAGCTATGCTAGCATGCGCCCTGCTTGTCATCACACCCTGCCTGTGACCAAGAGCCCCGAGCATTCCTCAGAGACACCTCTTGTCTCCAGGGGCAAACACAGCACCTGTCTTCAAGGGACCTCTCATTTTATGAGGGTGGTATAGTCCCTGCCCTGCGGGAGCCCCATTCTGGAAGAAGCCCCCTTCCCCTAGTCCCTTTTCCAGACTGCTCCCAGTTGAAAGGTGGGGTGGGGGCAGGATATATAATAACGCAGATTAGTGTGCCTAGAAATGTAAAGTTAAGCTAGAAATCTCATAATGCTGGAGTGTAGGAGGTCAGTCAGAGCTGTGCAGGGTGACCCGGGAGGACTCCCTGGAGCAGGTGTTGGGAGCCTGGCCCCAGAGGAGGAGGAGGTGGAGTGGCAGAGCCCTCTAGACCACGGGAAGGGCCAGCCTGAAGAGGACAGAAACAGGAAGTCAGGGGGCAGCCAGACCCCACCGAAGGAGAATCAAGGCTTTCCAGAATAGTATATGCTGGGACCGGTGCACACAGACCTCTTGGCCCAACCACCAGCCCAATTCATATTAAAGCAGTGAGTCCATCCCCAGCAGTGAAGATGCCAGCCACTCACTCACTTAATTTCCATCCTGGTTTTAACTGAACTATAACATATATGCCCCCGAAAGTGCACAAAACAGCTAGATGTGGTACAGTGAATAATCGAAAGGCAAACATGCATGAACAATTGTCTGACCTGTGTGTTGGCTGCATTAACAACCTCCCCATCGCCTTGGACCTGGAACCTACCTTACCCTAAGGAACCACTCTCCTGACTTCTGACAGTTGAGGACACTGAGGCTCAGGCAGGTTGGGGACTAAGATAGGGACATGAATGACGACCGTCAGGATGATAGAACAGTCTGGTTTCTAGTCCTTTCTTTCACCGTGCATCCCATTCTGTGTTCTGACGCTGTGCCTGCTCTCAGAGAACCTGGCTTTGGCCTTGACATGCATCCAGGTCCCTGCTGACCTTCTGACCCTCGGGGCTTCCTGTCCCATCTGCAGGTGTGAACCCCAGCGCCAACTACCACGCCCTGTACCGCTACTTTGTGGAGCTCTGGATCTACCTGGGGCTGGCCTGGCTTTCCCTCTTCGTCAACTGGAAGGTGAGCATGTTCGTGGAGGTCCACAAGGCCATCAAAAAGCGGCGGCGGCGGCGGAAGGAGTCCTTTGAGAGCTCCCCACACTCCAAAAAGGCTCTGCAGATGACTGGGAGTACAGCGTCCAAGGACGTCAACATCTTCAGCTTTCTGTCCAAGAAGGAGGAGACCTACAATGACCTCATCAAGCAGATCGGGAAGAAGGCAATGAAGACGAGCGGGGCTGGGGAGAGGGTCCCAGCACCGGGGCTGGGGCCTCAGGGGGGTGGGCTGCCAGCCCTCCCCACTTCCCTGTCCCCTCTGGTGGTTTACTCCAAGAACCGGGTGCCCAGCTTGGAAGAGGTGTCTCAGACGCTGAAGAGCAAAGGCCATGTGTCGCGGCCCCCCAGCGATGAGGCCGGGGCAGGGGCCCCCAAGGAAGGCTCCCCGACCTCCGAGGTGTTCATTAACCAGCTGGACCGAATCAGCGAGGAGGGTGAGCCATGGGACGCCCAGGACTACCACCCGCTCATCTTCCAGAACGTCAGCATCACCTTTGCGGACGAGGAGGCCGGCCTCTCGGACGAAGAGACATCCAAGTCCTCCATAGAGGACAACCTGGCTGGGGAGGAGAGGCCCCAGGAGGGGGCCGAAGCTGAGGTGCCCCTGAACCTGGGCGAGTTCCCCTCATCGGACGAGTCCACCTTCACCAGCACCGAGTCTGAGCTCTCTGTGCCTTACGAACAGCTTATGAACGAGTACAGTCCGTCCGACTGCCCCAGGGGCACGTGAGGCGGGGCCGGCTCCCCACCCCACCTCCGATGGCTTCTGTCCCCCTCATCCTGGGGCGTCCTACCATGGCTGGGACCTCCGGCCCCTGGTGGGGGGCAGCCCTGGAACTGGGAGTGGGGGGCCAGGGGCCTTCCTCACCTTCCATCCCCTCCGGCTAGATGCTGTGGGTCAAACTCAGCGTGCACCCAGGACAGTGCCTCAGTTCTCTGGCTGAGTGGGCACCCTGGCGGTGGGAGGCATCTGGCCTGAGCACGGCTGGTGTATTTGATGGTTCAGAGACATGTATGGGCTGGCAGGTGACCCTCTGGGAGGCCTGCACCTGCATGGGTCTTCAGACGTCCTTCGGCTGAGCATGTCACACGGTTCTCTGAGGCTCGGGGCCCCAGCCATTTGAGTTCACCAGTATTAATGAGTTCCTCTGTGCCCAGCACAGAGCTAGCTATTTCAGAAAGAGAGGAAGCGGGGGGCACTGTGAGCCCTGGGTCCTGCCTTTGCAGGAGGTACAGCAATGGTATGGGGGCACTGAGCACTTCAGCTCCTCAGCAAATATCAGGGTGCTGTGTGGGGTGCATGTATAAGCATCCCCCAACCCCGCCTTATCTGCCTATCAGGCCCTACTGCAAAGCTCAGTAGGGAAGAGGCGCCCAGGGGAAGGGAAAGGGGAGAGATCCTGGGCAGACACTGAAACACTCCTATCCTAATACACAGGACCCCGAGCAAGCTCTGAGTTGGCCCGGGGTTCTAGGCCTTCTGGTTCTGCTCAGACCAAGCCACCCGGAGCCCAGTTCCCTGACTCACCCTTTGGCCAGGTGATGGCAGATGCAGGCTTTCTCCCTCCCTGAGAACGCTGTGGGAAGAGAGGGTATCAGTAGCCAGGGAGCTGCAGGAGGAAGCTCGGCTCTGGCGCTTTCTGTCCCCAGCCTCCCCTGTGCCCTGAACAAGGACCTCATGGCTCCCTGGCCCTCGTGGCCCCCATGGTGGGGGAGGCCGAGTCCCTCTTGGCTTACACGTGGGATGGGCCAAAGATGTGAATCAGCTCCCTTGCTGCAGCCACGGTTTGGCATTTGTGTGCGTGGGTGCACATGTGTGTTTAAGAAAAGACAGGGACACGGGGAGCAAATGATAATGTGAAACTGTATACAGACTGTTTCTGGTGAGGGGCTGGCAGAGTTCTCGGGGTCTCCGCGATACGCACCCTTAGGGCTGGCCCTCTCTGCCCTGTATGTTTTGTTATTTTTTAAATAAACTGCTGTTTTGATATACCTGGCATCCATTGTTGGCCTCAGAGCCAGAGGGGAGAGGAGGCAAAAGAGCCGGCCCCCAAGGAATGGATTGTTACGTGTTCGCCCTCCCACCCCCAGCTCTGCTGGGCCTTTCTTGGTGAGCTCAGCCAGAGTCACGCTGTCAAGAGCCCCCACATAGAGCGGGGGTGAAGGCACCGAGAAGTGAGTGTGCACGGTTGGGGCGAGGCATCCCTCACAGGTGACTGACGCCGGCCAGGAGGCGAGTGATCACCCTCTCTGCCTCTCAGCCCCCTCCCCAGGACTGTGGGGCCGGACCCCACCCCAGCCCCTCCCCCCGACATGTGAAGACAGTGATGGGCGTGTGTGTCCATACCTGCGTTCATCCTGTGACCCAGGGCTGTGCTGGGTTTCCTTGCCCCACCTTGCTGGCGTGTTGCTGGCCGTCCTGGACTCACACACTGTATGTACATACTGGCAATGATGTCAAATGTAATTTATTTTAACATTTTTACAATAAAGCCTTGAAGATGGACAGGCCAGCCTGGCGTGTGCTGTGTGGGGGCAGTCTGGGAGAATTGGGGTAGGGAGAACGGACGACGGTGCGAGGGTCACAGTGAGGATTGGTCCGGAAGGGAAAGAAAAAAAAAAAAAGAGGCAAGGAGGTGGGGGAGGGGCCAGCTAGTTAAGATGAGGTGGTCAGGATGGGCTTCTTGGGGCAGGTGACAGCTAACCAGTCTAAATGCGGATGGGGAGGAGCCTTGCGGGAAGGATCCTAGAACCGGGAAGGAGTCAGAAGCCAGGGGAGAGTGATGGGTTGGGGGTGGGTTGGGGGTAGTGGTGGGGATCGTGCAAACTGTCCGCAGTCTGCTTTATGCTCATGCTCCACAAATGAGCTCCTTTGATCTTGCAACAGAGCCATGTGGTAGGTGTATGTGCCCATTTTACAGGCCAGGAAATAAGGCTCGGAGAAGTGACGGGCAAGAGCTCAAGAGACAGCCTGGATTCAAACTCACGCAGCCACACTCCTGCATCTGTCCCCAGCCACTGGGATGGGAGGAGGAAGTGAGCCTGTGCTTTGTGGCCACTGACATGCCCTGGAAGGGCTCCTGTCTTGGAAGGTGGGCCAGAGAATAACTCGACGATGGACCAGGCTTGAGTTCGAGGGGTGGACCCTGGGGACCAGAAAGAATGTGAACGAAGGACTGACCAGGCTCAGCTGGACATGTCTGCATTCATTTAAAGGGAGGTTCGGCCAGGCTTCGTTGTCTCAACTGGTTGGAGGTTGGTCTCTTCTGTGGTTCCAGGGCCGCCTGACCAGGACCAAACAGGACATTTGTTAAAAGTTGGAGTCTGTTGGGTGCCTGGGTGGCTCAGTTGGTTAAGTGACTGCCTTCGGCTCAGGTCATGATCCTGGAGTCCTGGGATCGAGTCCCGCATCGGGCTCCCTGCTCAGCAGGGAGTCTGCTTCTCCCTCTGACCCTCTTCCCTCTCGTGCTCTCTGTCTCTCTCTCTCTCTCTCTCTCAAATAAATAAAATTTAAAAAAAAAGTTGGAGTCTGTTGGAAAAATGTAAAATTCTGTGGTTTCAGGAGTGAGTCACAGTTTTCACTCAGGCATGGATGTGTTTACAAAGGGTCCTATGTGTTTAACATACCAACCAATTCTAGAGCTACTTGATATCATCCCTACCTCTGCCAAAACATCTCTCCACCTCTCTCCCTCTCCTCCCTTCCCTGCACCCCCCCTCCTGCCCCCACACACAGGTCCAAGATTCTCTGATTTTGCTTTAGCCCCGTTCAGCCTCAAGGTAACTAAGTTCTACCTTTATTTAGCGCTTGACCACTTCACAAAGCCCTTTGACAAATATACCTCAGAGCATCCACAGGGGACACAGGTCACTTGGCCCCATTTTCAGCTAAGGAGATGAAGGCTCAGAGAGTCGGCTTTTCCCAGGGCACAGTGACACACAGACAGAAGCACAAATACAAGATTGGGGTGGAGGTGTGGTCTTAGGCCACTGTGGCTAAGATGAGTCAGGAGCTTTCCGAGTTAAAGGCCTGGAAACAGGAAGGTGGGACCGCAGCTGGAGCAGAAGGTGGGGCCCGGAAGGCCCCAAGTTGCTGGGGGATTGAGCGCAGAGGAGGGGTGCCACGTGGTGGGTGGGGGGATTGAGCGCAGAGGAGGGGTGCCACGTGGTGGGTGGGAGCATGGTGACACCTCACGTCATGGGTCCTTGTTGGTCATGAACTGCTAGGCATGGAAGGTAGAAGAGGTGGGGGGGGTCTGGGGAAAGGACCCCGATAGGGGAATCCCCTTGTTGACACCAGATTCATAACCTGCGTCAGTGAGACCCTGATAATGTTACAGGATTTCCTCTCCTCTAAGTGCCCACGGTTCTTGGTCAGGCCGCTTCGAAGAATGAAGAGGTAGACCGGACAGAGGGGTGGGCAGCGAAGCAAGGTGTGTGTGGGCGATAGCAAAGTGATAGCACAAAGCTCCCGAGGAGGGAGGGGACCCCAGGGGGCTGTCACGGAGTTTCTATGTCTAGGGGTTTTTATGGGCTTGTTGGCTGGCTGTTTTCATCTGATGAACCCTTCCTGCGCCTGTCACCCAATCAGGTTTTTGTCACCTCTCTATCACATGGGAAAGGGTGGAGGGCTCCTTCCAGGGCGGTGTAAAATCCTTTTAAGGGCGGTTTCCTCCGACCTTGGGTGTCATCCTGGAGGAGTCCCGTGGCTCCATGCCAGTTAAGAGTTTCACCCCCTGCTTGCAGAGGCCGGTCAAGCTTCTCCCAGCCACCCTGGTACTGAAGCTTTCTTGAGCCTGGGGCAGAGTAAGGAAAGGAGGCAGGCTGGACTGGGCTGCTCTGGGTGGGGTCTCTGCGAATGGCTGTCCTTCTGTGGGGCCCCAGAGGTTTGAGCTCAGCCCCGAAATAACAGCTCTTCACCCCTGAAGCAACAGGTCCCCAACTTCCAAATTCATACACAACTGGTTCAGGAAGCCAGTGTGAGAGCCTCCAGGATGTGTTTGTGTAACACAGCGAGAACTAAAATCTCTGCCCCTTCCCTCTGTCCAGGCCCCCGCGGCCCCTCGCCTGGAGCCACACACCAGCACAGGGCCAGGCACCTGAAAGGGGCTCTACAGATGTTTGTTGAATGAGTGAATGAGGCCCCTTAGCTGGTCTCCCTGCCTCTAACACGGACCTCTCCTACCTGGCCATCACTGCACCCAGCAGGGAGAGTCCTGAACTCAAATCTGACCCATTTTCTGTCCTGCTTTAAACTCCTCTGGGCTCCCATTGTTCTTCTGGGCACCACACCCCGCCCCCAGCCTCCTCTAACGGCCACCCCCACCTCTTTCTGGGCTCCAGCCACAGAAAACTTTCTCCAGTGAGCCAGGCCACCCAGGTCTTTGCCCCACGCTGTTTCCGGGATGTGTCTGTCCTCTCTTCTGGTGTCGTCCTAAGGCCTGGTGGGATTGATAGTGGCCATCAGTTTCTCTGGGAAGAGTTCAGCAAGCATCTCCTTCCATGCGGTTCGAGTTGCGTGTCTCCTGGTCTAACAGCCCAGGTCCCTGACTGGGAGCCCGAAAAGAGAGCGGGTGGTGGCTTGTTCACCTTCGGCTCCTTCCCACAGGACCCAGCACAGAGAAGGGCTCAGTTTTTCAGGGGTTCCTGAGAGGAAGGTGAATGAACCAGAGTCCTGGACCCTCCCAGGGGTAACTCCATCCCTCTTCTTGTGGTAGAAGCCAAATCAGGAGGTAGATCTTATCCCACAAGGGCAAGTCTCAGCAGAGCCGGGTGGATGATCTTGAGGGACCTTGTCCCAGGCTGTGGTGACCTGGTGAGTCACGTAGTTGTGCCAAGTCACCTCCATCTGGCAGGCAGGACAGGGACACGGGACACCTTGTTTTTCCACACCCTCTCTGGCAGCTCCCCTCACCTCTCA